GTGGGGGGGAGATGTTCATGTTGCTGCAGTCTGACCGCTAGATGTCGCTAAAAGTTACACACTGTAGCTTTAATCTGTACATTATTTTTTGATTAATCGATTAAAAATCGGATAGCAATTGGATTATCTTAAATGTAAAATGTTTATATATACATTTTACTGCTCAAGATGGATTGCTCTGTCAGCTATAGGCATGCTTTAGAGTGTCTATACTCCAGTTAACGATTAATTGATTGCTAAATTAGACAATTATTTCAATAATCGATTAATCAGGATTATTCCAATTCATTGTTTCGGCCCTACATAAAATGTATTCAAAACAAAAAATAATGTTTTTAATCTTCAAAAAAACAACATTGCTATAATCTTATTTAAACTTAAATTTTGACAGGAATGTGTAAAGAATAAAGTTTAAATCATACAGACCACAGAAAATGCTTGAAACGAAACTCATTACGTGTTCTTTTCTGCCTCCATTATCCCTGTAGGTAAGCATCGGTGTTTTTGTAAATAAGATGCAAATGTGACAATGGTTTAAGGCTCTTTGAATAGCTTTTGTATATAGTGTCATGTTGTTTTCAAGATTGGGGGCTGCTTCACTGTTTGATCTTCGTCTCTTTCTAATTGGGGGCTAGCTTCAGACTCAAGGGTCCAACTAATGTGGACGTTGGTTGTTATCAACTGGAGGTATGGCACTGACTGCCTATGAGGTTTTATAGAACCTCAAAAAAACAGATCTGTCCCTTTAATACTTGACTTTCCCTAGCAGGTGAAATCCTCAATGTCACCCGCTTTCCTTCACCTTGGTTTCACAAACAGCTCAAACAACCATGACAGTTATCATTTTCTTTCTCCTTAGCGTCCGCATTTGCATTCAGATGTTTACAGATATGGGAAATCACTGTCAATACTTGGGCTAGCGCATAAACAGGATTTTGATCACAGTGCATTAAAGAGCGTTGGTGTCTCTGGTGATCATAAAGATAACAGGAAAAACATCAGAGAAATGAGGCGCTAAACCTCCCGCAGGAATGGCTGATGGAAACAACTTTGATTTCAGCTGGCTGCTGTAGCAACAGCATCCCCTGCACAGAGACAGAGGATGGATCCCTAGGAGTTTGATGACTCCATCCCCTTAACCAGCCCTGCTTCAGGGAGGAAAAGTGAAAAAACATCCTTTTTGTTTTTTTTTTTTTTTTTTTTCAAATCATTAAAACTGTGAACTGCCACAGCTAAAATAATACTGTGTGTATCTTTCTCATTATTCCTAATGAGCAGTGCCTGGCAGTAAATGTAATGAACATTTAATTGGCTGTGCTTCATCTTGGCCTTTGAGATAAAATAATGATAAGAAAGTAACCAGTTTAGACTTATGGGCATGTGTTGAGGTGCAAATTACTGCCAATGACATGATTTTAAGTAAATAAATTGATGCTGATACACACATTCCTCTGAGATTAGAGTTGGAATATTATTAATCCAAATCTTGGAAGCAATCATCAAAGCCACACAATAAGAAAGAATAGCACTGCTTCTCCTTCCTTTCCCTTGTACGCACACAAATAAACAACAACAGGCAGCACCAACTGCTGGGTGTGTGCAGGGTGCACTGTAAATATTTCATATTTATTCTTCCTTGGGATGTAAAAGCAGAATCAGGATAAAAGGCTCTTTCACTTTCAGTAAAAACTGCTCCCACGCTCCAATTCAATTTATTTCACAGGAAGACAAGGCGATTAAATTTAACGGTAAAAGTCAACAAATAATAAAGGGAGATACCTTCAATCCTTTAATCTAACAGGTGCACTCAACATCTCATTCCACTAATGCACTAAATCCTGAGGAGAGAAAAAAATGGATAAAGCGGGCAATAGGAAAGA